TAAGGATTCCCGACGGAATCCTAAACGTCAGGAAAATAAAACTCTTGTTCCAGTAGTCGCATCTCCTTCTTCGGAACTGCTTCCTGATACTCACATATTCACCTCTATTGAGAAGCAAATTCTTAATGATCAACTTTACGCGCTGTGGAGTGCGTGGCAGCACTAAACGTGGAGATGTTGGAGTCCCATGAACGAACTTACGCCGTGTGGCGGACCACCTGATTGGCCTTCAAAGCAAGCTAAGAGATGTGAGGTAGAGGCTGTTAGTTACAAAGTCCGTGCAGGCTTACTATCCAGTGTCTCGTCCCAGCTCACACGTTTGTGAAACAGCACCTAAGGAGCATAAACGAAACCCTAAGATCCGCGAAGGCACACATACCTCAGCAGTGAACCTAACTGATATTAGTCACAAACGGGTAGCACGAAGCATTAAGGAAAACGGAAAATTACCGGATGCTCGCAACTAGATGCTGGACGCCGGTGACTGACATATGCAACATGAGAAGGCCCAGTGCGATGAAACCGAATAGACCCCTACAACGGTTTTTCGGATCTGCGGAAAGAGCAGGAAAGGTTAAAATATCTCAGGGGAAGAGAATACGCGCAGGTGAAAAAAACTTATCCTGAGTAACTTTTTGAAATGAATGCAGCATAAAGAATTAACGTCGTTAAGTAATGTATTCTAAGTTTAGGAGGAAAGTAGAAAAAATAGCTGTGGCAGCAACAGCTTTCCTGACGCGTTCGAAGCACTTTTATCCATTAAGGTATATTGGGCTCGCTAAGTAAGTGCCTACGAGGCACTGTAATGCTTACTTGTACTTGATATGGCTTCGATTCGGCAAAACCCTAGTGCCGACGCATTCGCGGAAACAAGTGAGGAGGCGAGATATACGTGCGGCGGAAACTTGTGCACAGAGATGCTCGCAACGTTCTGTTATGTGTGGCACTAATCCCTTCGGCCCTACCATAGGTATTTTATTCTACACTGGTTTTGCAAAAGCGTTTGTTGTCGGCCCCTGTTGACTACTGAGTCCACATTTACTTTTTTATAGCGTGATGTTTTCGTTTTAAACAAAATTCTCTTGGAAATAGTACTTTTATTATGAGCGGGGTATTCAAGCCTCATATTTGAAAGTCCATTGCCCCCTAGCCTGGCTGATGGCCACCCAGTGTGTTCACGGAAGGTACACAGTGGAATGGCTTTCAAAACTGCGAACAGGGCAGACCCAAAATTTTTGATGTCGTAAGATTCATGTTGCCAACACAGCCGCGGTTCTTAAGTGCGGTCATGTTCTATAGCCCGAGTTCAAGAAGAAAATAGGATTGAACAACCATCGGTG